TATATCGGCCAAACTTCTCACTTCTTGTCTGAATTGTAAGTTGGATTGGCAAGATGGTTTGAAAATCAGTGGCGAGCAGCTAAATCATTTTACGATTCGCAGATGCTATAGTTCTCACTGCAAACAGCGCTTTCAAAAACAACGAGATGTTGCAGTGGCTTAACGCACAAGGTAAGGAGGTGAACCTAAAAATCAGCGCTTCGAAATGCCGAGTGCCAATGTTTTCGCGGCCAGCATGTAAGTAGATGATGTTGACGCGTAGGAAGTTGAAAGTTTCGTCTGTCTTAATCAGATAGTAAACACTTTACAATTTTTAGCTGACGACTGCCCGTAGGAGCAAATTTCACAGCATCGTCTACGGATTCAAAGCTCCAAAATGGAAATACTGTGCTAGCTCATCAATACCATTATGCTGAAGGCAGTTACGTACGGTTATGAAGCAAGTCACTGGTGAAAGCAAAAGAGTGAATGTTGACAGTGATGGGAATAGCAATGGCGCGTAGCATAATGTCTCCTCGTGACTATACAAGCGCTGAAGCTCTTTATCAGAAAGTGGCGAACTTGGTCACAATACAAGCAAGAAAGTAAAATATGACAAGAGTACTTTGTTGCCTCCACTGACAACTAATAGACATCGCGGCAAGAGTGTAGTGCGCAAAAAAATAGCCACCACACCGGCTGTCGGTGCGAAGATGCGTTTTTTACATAGTTCCCTGCAGGTTTTTGTCGCCAGTGGCGCTGTTTTTTTCAGCAGATGCTTCTATCTAAAAGAACTGAGACTGGCCACCAGGGCTGCCTGAAACCATCTCTCTAAAATTTCAGCTTTCTAGCTTTCCTAGTTTCCGAGTTAACAACCTACACGCAAAAAATTTTCACGGGCCTGTACGTAGGAACCACGCATACTTGGGGACTGAGTGTGAACTGATTAAGACCTACATGGACCTGGAACATCTCCTTAAAATCCCAGTCTTTTAGCTTTTCAGTTCCCAAGTTAGCAACTTATCCGAAAAAAACTTTGGCGGACCCGTA